ATCGAGGCTTGTATTAATCAATTAATGCATCCACTTTTTCCTTTATCTTGGGAACCCATTTGTTCAAAAAATATGTGCTATAATTGTTCCCTCGTATTATTTGGATGAATAAAGGGTATTTTATGAATACTAACCCCAAACTCTTAGTTAATTGTATTTTGGACCCTAAAGTTCTTGAGCTCGGACCTAATCCACCAAATGTCTAACAGATTCCTTCTCCTTTGGCCTTTTTTTTTTTGTTGGGTGACCCATCCAATATCCTAGACAGACCGTCTTTTAGGTATATCAACGGCCCTGACTAATCCGAATTCGCTAATTGTAGGCACCTCAAAGGATGGGATAGCTGGCCAGGGAATTTAACGCTTTCCATGCCCAAGCGAAACTCGAACCCCCGACCTTAGTTAAGGGAAGATGAGCCCTTACTGCTCAATTATACGTCCATAGTTTCTCCTTCGGCCTTAGTAACAAGCAATGAACTCTCCTCCCTCATGTGTATGTCTATATGGTGAAGGTTATCGCCAAATTGTGCGGTCAAAGATGATCGAAATGGTGATTTTCATGTTGTTTTTTCAAGCAAATTAAATTGCTGTAAAAAAATCGTTGAGCTTTCTTACATATAAGGAGATTGAAGATGATGGGGGTGGTGATTTGGCAGCCACATCAATGCCTAATAAGGATCATTTTCTAAAAAAGTGGGAAAAGATAAGGATTGAGTTTTGAGCGAGTCAAAAGTTCACAAACTGACTCGTATCAAATCATACTAAAAGTGAAAGGAGTTATGAGATTGAGTCAAAAGTGAAAGTACTAAAAGATTCATTTTTTCTTGATTTTATATTAGTATATAGAGTATTTTTTTTTTCAGTCTTTCCAAAAGCTTCCCGAATTTGGTATGATGGAAAGCATTTAAAAAAAAATAGGAAGAGGAAAGGAGTTATGAATTAAAATTATAACAAAAATTCCGCATTTGGCATGTCGAAAAAAGATAAATATAATGCTTTTATGCATTTTGTTTAATATGCATAGTAGATTAATAGAAATGGAATTAAATAATGTATAATCCCATAATGCTCCTGTCTCAAATCCATAATTTTTGGTCAAAAGAAAAAGACCTGGCCAAAAGGATCCTTGCCCGGCCCCTTTCATGATGTACTCCCTAGGTCCCCATGTATCAAACATTTGAATGAGTGACTTTGTGATTCCTTTTATAAAGTTCTATACCAATGATTTGTTACAATGTTTTACGTTTATTCAATATTGACATTGGAAGCTAAGATAAGAAGAAAATATATTTAATATTGAAATATCGTGAAATTGTTAGCAAAAAATTAAAGAGAATAAGCGTGCAATTTTTTAATTTGACTTAAGGGGCAAAGGTACTTATGAAGTATATTTGCAATCATATAGTTCACCTAATTGCTAAAATACACATAATCAAGATGGGAGTTTTGTTCTGTTTTAGAAGGGTCATGTTTACTTTTACGTCTAGCTAAAAAACTTTGATCAAATTTCTTATATTTACTATGTCAAGCTTTCTAATTACATATGATCATATGTTGTTTTTGTTTCATATGAATTTATCATTAAATGCTAATATTTTGAAAATTAGGACACATAATTTTATATATGATCGGAAAACTTAATATAATAGATATAAAAAACTTAATGTGAGTATTCTACAATTTTGTAATTTCTGTGCACAGGGGTATATTGGTTACTTTCGCATCTTAATTCTTTTAATTTTTATTTTTATTTTGCCAACAGTTTTAAAATGTTTTTATTCTAATAAAAATATTAAAAGTCACTTATGGCTTAATCACTCGGAAAGAGTGATGCGGTTTTAAACGTGCATTTTGGATTGTTCCCCGCTAGGATGCGACGTGTTCCCATAGGATCATGGTGAAGAAGTCCTTTTGAATTAAACCATTGACTTTTTGGAATTAAATGCCTTAAAAAATTAATGTAAAGTAAGGACTTGTGTATATACTACTCTTTTCCAAAAGACAATCACTCAAAGCAAAAAAAAAAAAAAAGTATAAATACTACATGTGAGAAGAGTTTTATCTCAACTTACGTAAAATGTATTTATAAGTACTTATATAAGTAAATCAAAGGGGCAATAAAACTCATGAAAGCATAAGACAACAACCACAACTAAACGAAAACAAGCACAAAAAAGCATGAGCTAATTTACCATTTCATTTCAGACGCTGCACGCAAAGAACATTGCCGGAAACGATGTAGGTGGCGAAGAACTAACTTTACACTGCAGAGAGTGTGTGGTGATGACTACCTAGATGAGCCAGCAGGGTGAAGGGCTCGGATAGGATATCCCAAAGGATGTTGCAAACGCAACTGGAAGGAAGATCCAGAATTCAAAGTTTTGACCATAAAAGCTACGGAAAACCAACAACAGCCTCATACGACAGCATCAGAAAACGAATAATAAACATGCATAGAGAAACAAACGGACTAGCTAGATAAGGAAATCAAGCACACTAGACATAAAACAAACCAGACATTAAATATTAATCGAAACTAACGATCGCGTAGCCTTTATGAAAGCCATAAACTTCCTTTGTCTCAGCATTAGTGAAGGAAGACGTTACTGCAACAACGTGTTTCCATGACTTGCAAGCCAAAGGAAAGTTGAGTTTGGTGTAGAAACTGAGCTTGCAAAGAGGGATCCAAAGAAGTTTTGCTTGTTCCAGGCCAGATCATGAAGATGCCAAACGCCCTCCATAGAAGTTAATTTGGGAGATAATTGGGGAACCATGAATATCCATCGGATCAGAGCTATTTTATTAACTCTAACTATGTTTGGTATGCTTGGTACGAGAGAATTGGACAAGAGGAAAAATTTTAATGATCGCTCCATTAAAAAAAATTGGAAAAGTAGGGTTATAATTTTTCTTTTGGTGAAAAGTGATGTTATAGAATTTTGATGAAAACTAAAGAGTAAACAAAACTAGTTAAAAGATTTTAGTCCCACTTTTTAAATTTTTTAAATCATGCAAATTAAAATTTTTTTGTATCCTCCTATACATTATGGGAGCTGGCCATGCCTGAAGTCGTTACTTTAACCGCAAGGAGGGGGATGCCGAAGGCAGGGCTAGTGACTGGAGTGAAGTCGTAACAAGGTAGTCGTACTGGAAGGTGCGGCTAGATCACTTCCTTTTCAGGGAGAGCTAATACTTATTAAGTATTTTGGTTTGATACTGCTCCCTCCATTTTTCTCGTACCAATTAGAGTTTAAGAAAACCATGTACAATTAGTTTTCAAATACAAAAAAAATCAAAAAATGGTACATCTTTATACTATTCTCATTATATTTTGTCTCGATCAAGATTAGACTTTATCAAAATGAGACAGAACACAAGAAAAAAAAGTGTCCTCTCTTAAATACGAGATGGGATTGGGATGGGGTTGCCCCCATCCTATCCTATATACAAGTATACTTTTGTGTTTGGTACATTATCTCTAAGTATATTGGGTTGGGGCATCATAACTAGCTCACGTTAAGCCTTTTTTAATCCTTTCTTTTTTTTTTTCAAGAGTGTGATGTCCTGAGTCGAATCCTTATAATGGTGCGCGAGTCATTCACAGGGAAAAAAAAAATGTTGGGCGAAAAGGGCAAAAAGAAAAAAGAAAAAGAAAAAAAAACAGAGAGAGTATATTGGTTGACTTGCTCGGCAGCTGGAAATTGATGACAGGTTACCAGACCAGACGACCATGTATTCCACAGTGATGGAAATCCTACACCTAATGGCCTAATAGGACTCGTATTTGTCCAACGTACGCACTTAGAAATAACGTTAGTTAGGGCTTGTACTGTATATACGCGCAGTGCCGCAACTTATGCCATCATTGGAATTTAATAAAAGTGGCAGTGGCACTGGCTTTCGCTTTCAGGCTTCTTTGCACATGAAGATTGGCTTAGATTCATCCATTCACTCACCAAACCAAAGCCCCGCAATAGCAGAAGAGACGGTGAGAGGGATTCGATTTCACTGAATTTATTACTGTTCTGGCCCAATAATCCGTAAACCGACACGCGTCTAGTTTCTTTTAGATTCCAATGATGTGAATTCAATTCAGTTCACTTGATTTCGAAGTCTTTCTGTGTAACTCTGTTGTGTTGCATCCACGGAAGATCAAATTGAATCTTTTTCTCCTCTCTCCACCTCTAACCTCTCCCTCTCTAACTGAGGTACCTTTTTCAAATATCTCGGTGTCACAGTTGGATTTCTTGCTTGCGATGATGATTTTGAATGTGATAACTCGAATGGGTGTTTTGATTTTTCGTTGGGTTGGGTCTATCTTTCTTCTTTGATGGAAAGTTGAAGTGTCGAAGTAGACAAATCGAATGTGATTTTTCTTTAATTTTTTCCCTTAATTTTCCATGTATGGGATGATCATGCTTCGCCTGCTTATTTTCTGTCGACATATTGGGTGAATCAGCGGTTGTGATGAGCCATCAGAAGGACAATCAATTATTTTTACTGTTAGTTGATGCATCGTCACTGTTCATCAGTGAAGTAAAGAATCAGTTTTTCCAAAATTTGAAGGAAAATGTGTCATTGATTTGTCGGTTGTGGTAAAAGATTCCACAACTTTTGGGTAATTTTAGAGCATTTATTCTCTATTTCTTCTTCTTCTTCTTTTTAATATCTTATTGTCTTCTTTCAATTTATAATTTTTTAGCTGTATCCTCGACTACCATCACACCCCCAATTTTCTAGCGAAGTATATGTTGCGTTATCCCTCGATCAAAACCTGCATTGCTCGATACCAGTCTTTGGTCCTTCAAAAGTAAATCTTAGCTCTGAATGACAGCCGCTATAGCTTTTCCCGTCTGTTTCACTGAGCATTTGTATGCAATTGTGGCTTCTTTTGCAGGTGAGAGAGATAAAACAGGCTGCTAATCCATATTACGGGGGCATCTGAAATGGAAGAGGGAGGGTCCTGGTTTGCGGACGCGGTGGGGCTTCTGGAAATTTAGAATCCCCTCTCCTTATTTATCAAATCTTGTTGCTGTTGGAGGCCCTCACTTTTTCTCATCTCCTGCATGTAGCACCAAATATTTTTGTTGATTAGTTGGGGAGTGGGAAAATTTTAAGGAAGACGCAGAAGCTGGCACAATGGGTTCTGTTTGTGGTTGTTTAAGTGTTGAGAATCTTGAAGATTATGTAAATCCAAATAGTTCTGTATATAGAAATTGCATGTGCTTCAGTTGCTTCATACATAACTTTTTGAATGTGGTATGTCTTTTAATCCTAGCCTCTTTCTCCCTTCTCTGTCTCATGTTTCAGAATTTGAATCTGATGCCTTCCCTAATGACTTGATCATGCACCATTTTTTCCTGTATCTCTATGGAGTAGAATGCCTGTCTGTCATATTTTCTCTAGGATCATGCCTCTGGTTGTTTTAAGCATTGGTGCACATGTACATCTTTTTGTTCATTTGTCTATAACAAGGAAAGGCCATTGCACTTGCAGGTAGATTGCTTGCATTCTGTCACTCCTCAAGTCATAAAAATATGCGTAGACATCATGGCTTTCTATTTGCCACATATAAGCATGTATGCTAATGAAGAAGATTTGTTGTTGAAGTGCGCCTTTAATTAAAGTTGCCTGTAAGCCTATTGTAGGAGGGATAAGTTTGCTATATGAGGTTCTAATGCTTTTCAGGTTGTCCTATTAAAGTCACAAATCAAGTCTGTGAGAGACAGAGATAATATGTTTATTGCTTTTTGATTAATTTTCTCTGTTTTTTGAGAGCGTTTTAGTGGCAAATCTGCAGTATCATTGGTCACTGACATTAATTATCGTTCACTTTCTTTTTTAAAAAGATATCTTAATCCTAACTGGTAGATCTATCTTTCATGGTGAGGTATTTTTCATTGATTAGAGCTACATATCTACAATATAAATATAACATTTTTCCATACTTCCAATTTCAGTATAATACAGTATTTCGTAGGCGTGAAGTGCATTCCATTTCTTCATCCGTCCAGGGGGCAGCATCTATGACTTCTACGGCATCCCTGGATAGTTCATTATCAGGGATGTACCGTGCTCCTCCCCGGCCTTTGCCATATGACGCAGACTCTAGGTATTTTCTCTCGCAACGTGATGGACTAGTTTCAAGACGTGAGAAGGGTTCAAGTCATTCAAATGAGGAATCACAACCTCTAAGAAGTGATCTAGATGTGGATTCAGACTCATTGAGTATGGGAGACAAATGGAATGAATGTGCCTGTGAAAATGGATCAAAGGAATACCTTTCTAAGTCCTCACTAAGACTTTCATCAGCAAAATATACACCTGGAGCTGCGGCGGTCTATGCACCATTAGAAGATGAAGATGTTTGTCCAACATGTCTTGAAGGTAGAGATATTAAATCTGGAATTTTTGTTTGAAGCTTCATGATGATAGCATCGAATGTTTTGGTGCATGTCTTGATATGGAGCGAGAAAACTGAATGTCCGGCCTTTGACTTGTTTTTTTCTTATACTTATGTTGGACGATGTATGGAACACTCATTCATTCTTGTGACTCTGACCTCTGTCACGTAATTTAATTTATTCTCAATTCGTAAAAGTTTTAAAAGATGTTTGAATCAGTAAAGTATGCATATCGTTTTCAGAAAATGAAATATGATTCTCTCAATGGTTTTGTTTTGGTCTTCCATTAGTTGATTTTAAAGAAGGAAAGGAGTAACATTTCACTTCTGAAGAAGCATTGACTTAGAATTTAACCTTTGCTTAAGAAACTCAGGAACCTGCTAGGGTTTGAAATTAGTATTCAACTTCATGACATATGATCGTTGTTTCAATGAATAAGTTGTTGATGCTGGCAAATTCTTTATTACTAAAATGGGATCTGAAGATTCTGATGGTTTTACAATATTTCTTTTGCTTGCAGAATATACCCAAGAGAATCCAAAGATAATGACAAAATGCTCTCACCATTTTCATCTTGGTTGCATCTATGAGTGGATGGAGAGAAGTGAAAACTGTCCAGTGTGTGGGAAGGTACTTTTCCTCCTTTGGTTTGTGAATTTTTTCTTGCTGTAATGATTGGCATTTCACCGGCGACAAGCATAGAATGAATAAAGACTCTTAAACTGCATGCTTAATTATCTTTATAAATATGTTTTACATAAAAAGAGGTCCTGTTGTGGGAGAACCTAGAGAAGAGGAAGATAAGGCACCCTTCTTTAGAAATAAAAGAATGGTGCAGCTGGATCAAGCACCCTGTCTTTGACTTGGGTTGAGATTGCACCCCTACCTAAAATTTATAAAACAAAAAAACAGAGAAAGAATGGAACAGAAGAGTAGAAAACCATAAACTAGGCTAATTAGATGTGCAGCAATTAAGTAATTTATAATTTTGTTTCTTAAGTGCCTGTGGTCTCTTGAAAGCTAGGCATGAATATCAAAGGGAACTGTTGCTTGTTTTCAATTCATTAGTGTACATTTAGGAGTTTACATGATCAATTTTGACTTATATTTGCCTTTTCTCCTAATATACTTATTCCCCTTCTTTCTAATTGCCACTAGTAATTTATCAACAGTTTTACGTGCTGATTCACTTATGAATATATTTAGAATTTATAGGAATCATATAGTTCGGCGATTTCCACATTTTTTTCCCAATTAAAATGCAGGTTTTTGCACTTAAGCATGTGGAATTAGTCTGTCACAAATTATTTCCTCCATTTCACTTCACTATCAGAATTTCGTTGGTGCAAGAACAGTTATATGATAAATCTTTATAGTCAGCTACTTTTGAAACTAACGTGAATTTCTAGGCTTGTATGCGTTGACATCTTTTCCTGCTATATACGAGAATCCTCCTTCTGAACATGAAGATGCAGACTTTGAAAGTATTTGAGTTTTAAGTGGGCATGTAGGGGCTGGGTTCTTAATTCAGTACTTCCATATAATTTCTATTTTCCGAGTCATATTAGGCATATTATCATTATGTGGTGTTCGTTGAGTGGCAGAGTTTGATTAGTGAGCAGTTTCCTGGTTTTAGCCCTTGTTTCTTATGGATAGGTAGTTAAAATATAGTTCTATTAAAGTTCTAGCAGGAAGATTTTAAATGTAAAATAAACAACTCAGTTAAAAAGAGAAACTGCGTGTGAACCGTTTTGAAGAATTGAGTGTTGGCGGTTAAATTTAACCAATTAAGACTGGATTTTAGCTTGCCCATGAGCTAAGGTTTTATTCAATCCTCACTTATATCTATGATTTACTTGCCTTATTGTTTTAGTTATATAAAAGTCCCAGCTCCCAACCTTTTCCTCTTGCTTTATTACTTGTATAAGCTGCATAACTTTTTGTGCTGTTTCCCAAGTCTTAACCTATCCATTTGATTTGCCGCTGCTACAATATCTACACTGCATACATGCAAAGCCTGGCCACCAGTTTATCATTCTTAGGCTCCATTTGTTGATGTTTCAACTCTAAATTTGATGCTGGTGTAACTATGGAAACCTGTAGATTGAACGCTGAGCCTACTAGTGATCCTTGAGTTTGTTGGTTCTATCATCCAGATAAAATGTTCATGGGGAATTCGATTAAGCCCGATAAATCAATCAATGATAGACTCAAAGTCCATTTGGAAATTTCTATGACCTAAGATCTTTTCTACTGGCTTGTACCTCTGTGCCCTTGAGTATAAATTCGGCATGTTCTCTGTGTTGGCATCTTTGAATGTGCTAGCCCATCATGAAATTCCATATGGCTTCATTCAAAAACAAAACCCAAAAAAAAAAAAAACAAAAGAAAACCGCCACATGGAAAGTTCTAACCACTTGATTGATTATTTAAATAATTGAATTAAATTTTTATCCCACCAGTGATAAGGTTATTGGGCTTTAGAAACGCCCCCCCCCCCCAACCCAAAGTCAAGCAAGAGCTGGTTATGAAATAGAATGTTGTTAGGAGTTTTGGGTTGACGGCGCTGTGTGAGCTTGTAAAAGGCTTGGTGAATGATCTATAAGGGTGGGTGTGGGACATGTGAAGGCTGTTTGAGGAACTATGTCAGATTTCAAACAATTTAATATGGATAAAAAGTTGTCAAATGCTACATTGTAAAAAGAATTGTATTCATATGTTGCACTTTTCATCTTGAAAGTGTCACCGAGTTCTTTATGTGTTAGAGAACTTCAAATTCTGGTGAACTGCCATTGGGTAATGCAATTTTCCCCTGTAAAATTTCTGAATATATTTGTTCTTTTATAAGATTATCTTATTGGAATTAAAATCTGGCACCCTTTGGACGAGGAGCATCTGGTGTGCCTCTAGACACTATATTTGGCAGGAGGTATGGTGCGGATAATTTAAATAAACATCTTATTTGTCTATTTATGGTTCATGTCGTTTGTTTTTAAGTAATATATTTAATTTTAACTGATATTAATATTTATTCCTATAAAATGATCTTGCAAACAATACCAATGTGCCATAAAATATTAATATTGGAAAGTTGGAGGACTCAGTGGTAACGCCACCAAGCTTGAAGCAATGTTTGATATGTAAGCGCTATGCTTTTGGCATTATAGCATTGTGATTAATTTTTGGCATTGTAGCATCATTATACAGCAGTTGGATCTAGAGGTTATAAATGGGGGGCTTAGAGAGAGAGAGAGAGTGGGTAGGCAGAAAATTCGGCAATAATTGTGGGAGGGAATGGGATCTAGCCTCTCTAAAACACCAGCCCTTTTCTTGCTTTCTTTTTATGTTTCTACCCCTTTTCCTGTTTCTACTGTAGAACCAGATACGGAAGCTTAAATTTGCTCGAGGACTTGATTTAAATTTTTAAAAGTACATAAAATATATAATATTTTTACCTTAGTATGTAGAAGATGCCAATGGCCATATGACCTAGTGACACGAAACACTCACCTTTGTTGGTGAGAAGTTGTGGGTGCTATTTGCTTCTAGCTTTAGCTTATCCATATGTAATCCAAAAAATATATTCTTAAAATATTTATTTATTTTTATTTGTTATGCACCCAAATGCTCCCCCAATGCATAGTTGCAAACCTAACTTGCATGATATTAGAATTCCATTTCCGTTCCTCAATTTATAGTAAAAATTTTGCATAGGAAACTGGGTTTGAATACTAATTTATACGTCATGGTGTAATGAGAAGGTTTGTTGCATGAGTTGAAGTTGCAAGTTCTTCACTTTGATTGACTTCCACCCACATTCCCTATACTAGTGCATATTAAGTTCTTACAGCGGGGTCTACAACATATGGACAAACACTTTGAAACATGGACATTGTGGCACAAACTATGTGTGAAATGTCCAGCTTTTGATTTGATAGATGTCGCGTTTCGCACAAATTAGACGAGTCATCAGATATTGTGAGGAGTTTAAGAAATGAGTCACATCATTCAGAAGATTTTAATAGTGTTATTTGCTATAGATCTTATGTTTTCTATTGACATTGATTGATGTATAATATAGGAAGTTCATTTATTTTTTTGAAGTGTCAATGCTTCCTAGACGTGCAATCACTTATATCATTAAATATTTTGATAACAAGAGGCGGAAGTAAGAAACTGGGATAATTTATCGCATTTATGCATACAAGTGACTTTGATTTTTGAGCAAGTGTTATGAGAGCAAAAAATCTGACTCTCTCTGTGTCAGTGTGTGTGTGTGTGAATGAGAAAGAGAGAGAGAGAGAGAGTTGTTACATCAGGAGGGATTGAATCTTAGACTTGCATATACCCCCATCCCATTCTACTCTTATCACTCAAACTGAAATAGCCTTAGGTGTCTAGTGTCTGATATTCTCTATGGCTGCTAACAAAGTGAATTTCTGATTGATGAGCTGAATATTGCCCTGGAAAGTGAAAACCCATTCATGGAATGATGGTTGATTTGTATTCTTGGTTATGTATAGGAGATGGAATTTGATGAAACGCCATAATCCTTTTTCAAGAGGCTTGTGTTGCGGATGAAGCCACCACCAGATGCAAAAAGCAAAAGGAAGAATTAATACCAAGTGTAGACATTGTGAATACTACAGATTAAGTTCTTGTATAGTAAGCGTGTTACTTTCCTTAACCATTGTTGTACGTTCTATCTCCTGCTTCTCTATCTTCAGCATTTCCATTTTTAATAATACCTTGGGAAAGGAAAAAATGAGTTAAATTGAAACATGTTTACAGCCTTGTAATATTGAGAGTTGTATTTCTTCCTTTGGTTCGGTGCTTCTTTCAGTAGTGTTAATAGATCATATATCTTCTTTTGTACAAGGAATGAAGTCAAAATATTTATGACTTGGGAATATTAATATTGATATTGACATTGCTGATTGATCTGGCCTGTGTGTTTATTTTTGGCTCATTGCATTAAAAAGAAAGGGGGGGGGGGGAGAGAGAGAGAGGGAGAGAGGAGAATTGCCTGGGCAAAAATAGAAACATGTTTGAAAGTGTTTTTGGTTACGTGTGAAAAAAAAACGGGAAAAAAAAAGAGAGAGAAGACGTCCTGAGAAATGAGAATTTTCACAGCACATAAGAAAGCTGTCATGTCTCTCTGGTTTTTTCGTTTTTTAAAAAATATTTGGGCCAACTATCCAAATTCATCTGAGAAGGAATCATGTGGTTCATTTACCATGACAGCTCTGAAACAACACAAAACGTACGCATTCAATGAATCATTGCTGTATCCAGGTCGGGGGGAAAAAAAAAGCATCATAACTGTAATTAATGAATCATTTTTTGGAGCAAAAGCTATAATGAATCATTATTATATACATCCGGTCTTATCTATACTAGAAATGAAGTTTTACAAATAAGAACAGCGGTAATACTATAATTATAACATAATTTCCCCCATAAATATATGTGTGTCCTTCAATAGTTCATGATTTAGGAGGTGTTGAGCAACTTCTAAACTATAATTTCAGAAGTATTTTTTTGTAAAATGAAAAAAATTCCTCTACATATTTATTTTGTAAACCGTAAAAATATTTTAAAATCATGATTTAGTTTTATTCAATCACTTTTTTAATGTTCGCATGTGTACGTGGCATATATTATTCTGTCAAACAAGTCACACGTCAGTACTCTCTCCCCCTCACACTGACGCATCCAACGCACCCATGTTATTAACCTGTATCAGTCCAAAACATATCTTTCGCTTCAGCCGCTGAATAGGGTCCACTTATAATTAAATTAGGATGTATAATTAAATTAGGAGGAACTCTGTAATTAAAATAATATAATTTAATTAAACGATTTTAAAAAATATTTATATATAACCATAAAACCAATCATATTTAAATAAAAAAAGGTATCAATTTATGAGTAAATGAAACATTTTGTATAACCCATACATAATCTAACAAAATAATTACAAAAGCACAATTATGATGGATTGTTATTACTTTTTTAATTGAGGAGATATTTAGTAATACGAAAAAGTACTTTTGAAAAGGATTTTTCTGTTAAACGAGATAAACTTCTCCACATGTTTATTTTGTATTCTGTAAAAATACTTTTAAAAACCTGATTTAGTTTTCATTTAAACATCTTCTAAAAATGATATTGTTTCATGAATTAATATAATTTGATCTGATTGATTTGTTCAAAACTTTTGACTAGATCGATCAGAAGATCAATTACTCAATTTATTGATCTCTCAAAACGTCTCATATTGAGTTTTAATACTACACTCAATTTATGAGTAAATGAAACATTTAGTATACGTAATCTGACAAAATAATTACAAAAGCACAATTACAGGCGGATTGCTATTACTTTTTTAATTCAAAATGATATTGTTTCAGGGAGACTTTAAAAAAAAATTGATTTGATTGATTGGTTCAAAACTTTTGACTAGATGGATTGTCTAAAATTTTTTACTAGATGGAACGGAGGATCAATTACTTGATTTACTGATGTGTTAAAACAGCTCAGATTGAAATATTTAGTACCAGATAGTACCTCAAATAGGATTGTTTCTAATAAGAGGATACCCATACTTTAGTTTTAAAAAAAAATCAAACAAGAAGAATAAGAAATGCAACATCTATCATAAAATATAGGATGCTCATGTACTCCTCCGGTCCTTAATATAGGATCCAATTCTTAAGTTGATTTTGGTCCTAAATATAATTTCCATTTCACATATTTATCAATTTTCTTTAAATTACCCCTATGGATACTCCCTCAACCATAATCAAGTAGAAGAGGGAGAGGGAGTATTAAGAAAGATGATTATGGTGTTTTGGAAAAAATGTGTCACTTTTCTTATAATTAACTAATTTACCTAACTTTCTTAATCTAATCAAATTAGTTAAATGAGTCTTATATTAAGGATCGGAAGAGTATCTTATTAAATCGAAGCTAATTAAGGCTAGAAAGTCATTTCAAAAAAAATTTGTTAATTTCAACGACAAAATTAGTCTAAATTATAAATTAACCAATATCTGATTAAATTAAAAGTTCTGATTTCCCTCAAAAGTCTGACCAAATTGCCAATTCGATGGCACAACATTATCAAACTCCAACATCTTCCCATCACTCGTAGTAACCTTAAACGACAAACTCTGTCCCATCAGGTTCGTCCCTGTCTGCCAAACCTGACCCCAATTCCTCGACATCTGAATCCACCCGCCGCCGCCATTACCTGCCCTGATCTTCGCGTCGGTGACGTCGCCGGCGTTCGCCACATTGAAAAACAGCGTTGTTATCCAGTAAGGGTTGCCCTTGAGCTCGAACTTGACGCCGCCGGATTTGGCGCAGGCGACACGGCGGTAGCGAACCGGGATGATGCCGGCCTTGTAGGGAGCGAGCTTGGTGAACATGGCCATGGAGAGGTCGAAGTGTTGCTGGGGAGGGTTGCACCAGTGGTTGACGTCCGGAGGAGTGTGGTTGGGCGGACAGAAGTTGGTGGCCGTAATTTTGATGGTGCCGGCGCCGGGGATGCACCATTGCGGGTCGTTGACGCACTCGAGTTCGAAGCAGGCGCCGCAGGTGAGACCATTGTTGAAGAGAGCTGTGCTTAGGGCTGCCGTTTCCAGGCCATAGCCTTGCTTGAAGAGGTCTCCATAACCACAAGCTCCTTCTGCAAATGGGAAGGAAATAACAATATTCATACCACTTTAATAATAATAATAATAATAATAATAATAATAATAATAATAATAATAAATATTCGGTATTTTATCCCTTCGGAGACATTGATAAAATTGGAACAATACTGAGAAAATTATGTTTCTATATATATATATATATATATATATATAAATGGGGGAGGATGTTCTTTGTTTTTTTTTTTAAAGAAGGGGAAAAATTAATCGCTAATTTAATGATTTGAGGGGGAATTATATACCGTACAGAATGAATTGGGAGTTGTTAATTTTCAAATATTTAAATTAATCTATTTTTGGAAAAGAACTTATATGATAAATTCACATGTTCTAAACTTGGCAAGAGATGACACTGAATATCCTATTTTTCTTAAATATGAAAGATTTTTTTTTTGGAGGTTATTATAAACACTATTGTATATATACATGACAGGTGAGGATTACTCTCTTTAATAGCAAAATCTGAGGTGGACTAGATAATTATCCTTGCGTTTCAAAGTCAATAATTTTTTATTTATTTACTTTATTTCTTTTTTTTTTGGTCTTTTTAAGTTTTTCGGAGTGAAGTTTGTCTTTTTAGGGAGTCTAGGGCTCCCCCCAAAAAAAAAAATTGTATACATATATGGAAAATTAATTTTTTTGATAAAAAGATCAATTTTATAAATAAAAAAAACGAATCAGCGTTGAAAAGATTAGGAAATGGAAAACTAATTTCAAAATGAGACTCATTGGCAATCTAGACTGTTCTTCTTCTTTTTTAACTCTTTATTTTATATGTTTGTATAAATTTATAATTGATATACACACAAATTCAGAACAAAGTTGAACAACTGCACAGGGTACTCACTCTAATTCATAAAAGAAATGATCAAACAACATTTTATTTGATGAGGAAAAATATGAGGGGGTAATTTACAGAAAAACACTGGAAAAACAATAGTTTTTTTCCTCAGAAAAAAACTGTGAGAATTTTTCACGAACTATTTTATCATGAGATTAGCATATGAGATGAGAAAAAAAAGATAGTACAATATTTAAGAGTTAATGCGATCCGCATTATTCATAAGTCATGAACAGTATAACTTATTAAACTCTGAACACAGAGAACACACAAATATACACACTTACGCATGGTTTCGCCTCCCGACATGTCACCATAGAAGGTTGCATGAGCATCATGCCAGCTTCCATCAATAGCAAAAGAAGCCAGGGCGGAGAAAGCAATGGCCATAAACTGAAACAAGAAGAAACAAGACACAGACATAGCCATGGCTTTTAAAGATTAATATGTGAGGAGGAGGAAGAAGAAGTGAATTCACATATGTATCTGAATTTTGATAAATGAAAGGTGGTATTTATATACAGGGCTTTGTGGTCATTTAATGCTTCCATATTCTTGAATCAGAAATAATTAAATTCATAAAAATACAGAAAATTAATTGATATTTAAGTTTTAAAGCCAAATATTATGTTCCATGTATCAGTAATTAATGAGATTCATATATAAATCAGTGAGTGATTGAGGGGATTGAGATGGTATACAATTTAAGTCAATCAATAGAGGAAGACAACTATTTTTTGTCTTTTTCTTTAATTATGGCTAATTATTTTATACAAGTTAATTTTTTTGACCGATTAAAATAATGCATTTACTAGTTTTGACCCAGTTTTATATATTTGTTATGCATAAATATAAATTTTGATACAATGAATTACATTATGATTGAGAGGCGTAACGAAATTTACTTGATGCAGAATTTTTTTCTTGCATTAATCGGGCCAAAAATGACAATTTCAATTTATTTTTTTGATGATGATAATTTCAACTTATTTCACAACAGCGATTTAATAATTTTTGATAGGAGCAACTTCAATAAGGACAAATGCAGAGAGATCATAAGTAAGGGAAACTCTCCCCTAAGATCATGAATTTGGCCATTTCAGTTTGATATTTTATGAGAATTGATGTTTTCCAATTTATTCTATTGAATTGTCTTCCTAATTTAGTCCTTTACTATAATTAATTTTTTTCAATTTTTATACCAATAGATACGTTTGTGGTGGAGTAGATAGTACCAGCATGAAGAGAAAAATATTTTAAAGTCATTTTATAATTTTTAATGAAAATATTCAAATATTTTGTATAAGTTATAAATATATTTTATAAAATATAAAAACAAAAAAATGAAAAATATTCATTTGTGAAATTTGAAAAAATAATAACAAGCTGGCAGGACGCTTCCATTTGCCTGCATTTCATTATTAGAGGAAAAAACTTCATTGAATTTACCTATTGATAGCATTTTGAGGCTTCAGTGCTTTTGAGGTTTAACCCTTAAACCTGCCTTTTTGGGGGGTTAACTCAGACACTTAGATCAATTACTTTGAAAATTTGATTTTGGAAGTGCATTTGGCAAATATGCATAAAGAAAAGGAAAAGTACACAATATAATTATGAAATATAAATTTCATACATAATACATCTTCTCAGTTCTTCCGTAATTTTTCTGATTTCTTTAAAATTTATTAACGTGTATGAAAAGATTCTCTAGAGAGAGAGTAGTCAATGATTGATTGATGATTCCAATTTCCAGCCACATGAACCTTAATTTAATGGCACAAAGGACCTTCAAATTTTAACATATTTTTTAATTGTTCACTTAAATATTCAAGTCACAAATAAGGAAAAGTCTAGAAAGTGAAAATTCGGAAAACAAACAGGGAAAAAAAACCATAAATATATTTCGATTAAAATAGTAAAATAACTAAATAAATAATAACTTTGGGGCTGTGATATCAAGAATGAGGAGACTCCAAGAATAAGATATGCTCAAATATAAAACAAACATTATTTTGGGTACAATTCCATCTCTCAGCTTCAGAAAAATGCTATTATTCTAAACTACAAAAGCACCATACTACTTAAGACTGCAACTTTGTCCGGAGTTCATTTCAACAAGTTGAAGACCTCATGAATAAAAGGTACCTTAGAATAAATAGGCAAGGATGAAGAAGCACGGATTTTAAAAGTGAGACTAACAGAAGTAAATTAAGTTACACACCAAAGGAACTCATTAAAAAAATTCAGAAAATCCTCATTTTACCCAACAAAGGGGGTTGCCCACAACTTTGAAGAAGGTCCCTCCTGTTACTCATGGTGCAATTACAAAAAGCGGCTGCACGAAACACGAGTATTAAGTTAAAGAAATGAACCATCTATTTTAATTATTCGATTTGGACACAATTTGGATGCAGCTTTTTCAGTGTTCGTTATCAGATTCTCCAATGACGACAATATAATGATAAGTTGTATAAAATACATACATGTTACAATTTTATTAAGATTTTTAATAACTAACACATAAAGAACTTCATACAAGTCTTATCTACTAATTTTTTTTCTTTCTGGAGTGAGGGGAGAGAAAGAGAGTACCGTATCTACACTGACTGGTTTCCCATCTTCCAAGAGTACCTCAGCTATAGTTCCTGATTGATCAGCCTGGGAGAAAAACGGAGAACCAAAGAATGTGAATTTTGGTTTTTATCGTAGCCAACGACTAGAGATTAAAGCACCTCAAGAAAATGGAAATGAAGCAAACAGAAAGTGTATCAGTGGTTCTTTAAGTCTGCTCTTAAGGGTGCCCTACTGATAGGCCTTGTTTAAGGGTTTTGGTATATAGGAGTATCATTAATGCTGAGTCAACTGGGGTAATTCGAAAAGCAATGATACAGGGGGAAAAACAATGTAGACATGCAAGAACAAAAGAAAAGATAGTACACGTACTTCAATTTCATTCATCAGTTTCATAGCCTCAATAATGCATAAGACCTGGCCTTTCTGCACTTTGTCTCCCACCTGAAGCAGCAGGAAATTAAACAAGACTATTCTATGTAGTAAAAATTATATACTTGAGTTGATAATGACATAGTTAAATAATCAATAGCATTTGTAAATTGACAGATTACCAGAAAATAAGTAAAATATACATACCTTTACAAATGGCAGTTCACCAGGTCCTGGGCTTCGATAAAAGGTTCCAGCCATTGGACTTTTCAATGGCGGATGAGATGAGGTGCTTGCTTTCCCTGGGGAAGGTGAGGCAGGTGCAGCTTTTGAAGTTGGAGGGCTTGCAGGAGCAGGAGCAGGAGATGGTGGTGGAGAAGGAAATGGGGGATAGGGTAGAGATGGAGGTGCTGGAGCTACTGCTGTGGTTGGTGGAGGCTGCAAAGCTTCCTTTTTCCTTATCAAAAGCTCATAGTCTGATTGCTTAAGTTGCAGCTCCGCAATATCTCTGGAATCGACAAGTCTGTGCACATGGAAATTATATAACACCAAGTATGGTAAACAATACATATCTAACATGGAAATATGGAAAATATGAGATTGCATCCAAATTTCAGTTGCTTAGTCTTACTTGACAAGATTGGATACTTGACTCATGAATGCAGAAATTGAAGCTTCATCCACAGAAGTGCTTGGACCAGAGAGTTTCCCGTCATCTTTCTCTTGCGATGATGCAACTTCAGATCCGATGTTAGGCATGGGAGCAGAGTTTGAAGAATCTTTGATAGCAGTAGCCTAATGAAAAGCAGGGTAAGACATATTGGTACAGCCTTAAAAAGAATTTCTTTGAATAGGCGAATTAACAAACTCTCATGATGCTTTTCATTTAAAATACATTTCATGGAAAACTGACCTCATTCGGTTGTGCTTGAAGCTTTAAGGAAGGAAGTTGCTTCCTGTTAAGGCTCTGCAGGAGACAATCACATAGAACAGCTGAATAAAAATAATCCATAACATAAAGCTGCGAAGTCAATGACTGTTTATTTGTATTCAATCAATAAAAAAACCATCATCAAACTGAAATTCATTTCATGGATTAATCATGAATTTTTCCAAGTTTAAGCACATAGGACATTATTTAAGCACTAAAACTACTGGTGTGGTACCTGAATGCATATTTTTAACAGATGCCCTCATTAAATAAAATCCATATCATGTACTTTACTGACTAAAATTTTTACTGGTGATAACAAGCAGAGAACTTATAGTAAGTTTCAAATCCAACGCCAAGCTCCAGGGCGTCAAAGCAATGCATATTACTGCAAATATAGTTTTAAATTAAACATTGATCTCCTATAGCAGAATTGCGGCCTAGGGACCACCGAATAAGTCATCCATAATATGTGAGATGTTGAAAAAAGTTTCAAGTAAAGATGAGTCTTTGGAACAAAAGAATAGCTCTTCCTTTTTATCGAAACCATAGGCCCCCTAGTGCGGAATTTCGCTTAATACTGGATAAGTATAAAATAATTGAAGTTAGCATCAACAATAGGATAAAAGTTGATATGCTAAAAATGGAAATAATTCAGCCTCACGGCCCCCACATGCCCAAAAACCAATATCTAAAATTACATCCTTCTGTCTTCCATAAAAAGGAGAGGCATGAACCAACCCTTAGCTTCTTTATCATATTATTACTTATTATTTCTTCATTCAGAAGATATACAATCAATAACACAGCAAAGCACACCCAATAGCGACAACATTAGCTAAAATCCGAACAAATCGACAATGAGTCGTTCATTTTAAACCAGATTCATAATTAAAATTTGAAATTGATTAAAATCAGATACCCGACTGCCAAACAACGCTGGATCAGAGAAAGAGGCTGGCAAGGATTGGCATGGCTTCAAGCTGGACTGCCTCGGCCGCTGCAGATTCTGGGAGTTCAATCCTAAGCGGAGAGGAGAAACACATTTCGGGCAGGGAACAGTAAAGGAGGCCATTGGAACTAACCAAACGCTTGAACCTTACTCGGGGTCTCGACCTGAGCTCAAATGGCTCTCTTCTGATCTATACAAGAAATGATGAAAGAAGCAAGTATAAAAAAGGTGGAGGCGATGAGATCGAAGAAAGGAGGGATGTGGGGATGGATGGAGAATACGAAGTAAGAAGAACAAGTGTTAGCTTTTAGAGGCTAGAATCAGTTTCGATGATTACAATGTGTGCGATATCAACGTCACACTGTTTAAAGTGTCGAACTAACCTGGAAGGATAAAAAAGGCTTTGGTTTTGTCTGTACTCAGTCGCTCATTTTGCGTTTCTTACCATTTTGTCTCGGGGGAAGAGAGAGTTCCTTCAACTCCGGATAAGCGAGGCTTTGGTCTTGCAGATCAGCGGGTAAGAGAGGGCGCTGGGTTTGATGATCTAACGGTTACTGCTGTTACTATTAGGTTGGGACGATCTGATGGGTCT